CAGACAGAGGGTGAAAAGAAGTGCTGCAGTATGAGAACAATAAAGACCTTTTGAACATTAAAGCATGGAAACTTGTCACAATAGAGGCACAAAATACAGATATGAACCTGGACATGTGCAGAATACGACCGGAGTGTTCAATGTAAGCTTCCTCTCAGCCACCAGGTACTCACAGACAGTTGCATCGCAGAGTAGTTGCATGATAATACAGTTCTACTTAGACTAGTCTCTGCTGCCCATCATCATTTTCAAGAACTGTGTTTTGTTGAGTGGGTTTAGAATTCATTGCTAGAGAAAACTTATCAAATACACATTTATTTGAATGTCTATTCAGGTAATAAGAGCTGTCGGAAGTACTCTTCACAGAAGTAAATGCTGCTTCACATTGTGAGTGCATCCATAGATGTGTGCGTCTACTATAACCCAACCTGTGTTTACCTCATATCCAGACATCTATTCATCATCTGCCTCTGACTCCGCTGCCACCAGCTGTCTGGGTGTGCTTTAGTGTAGCCTCGGTCTATTGGCTGTCTTTGATCTAACCTTCAGTCAGTGCGTACTTGCACAGCAGTATTACATTCATATTTGGAGAATGGATGTATTCGTAATTTTCTTATGGAAATGCTTACATATGTACATTTTGCACAAAAGAAATGCCTTACATAAAAGCACAGTTCAGTTGTCAAAGACGTCAGTCATTATCAAACCAATGATTAAACACCATAACTCTCACACATTCAATTTAGCTGAGAAAACCTGTGTTTGTACAAAATAATTTGAAGCTTGATGACATTAAAAACAAGTGATTTAATGAAACCGAGGCCTCTGACACCAGCATTAGATCAGGCGGGCGTTGTGGATGGCATTGTTATGTCTGCTGCCTATAAAATCTTAGTTAAGTTAATTTGCCTTGTCATAGTCAGCTGCAAACTGGGAGAGGCACCTCCTAAGTGTCTCATTAAAAAAGAACGCAGGCTCCATTGGTGCAGTTAATTGTACCTCGTGCAGTAAAGTGTTTCAAAATGATCATTATTTACAAGTGATGACCAAGGCAGACATTATTTAAATGACCCTTCCAGCGGGTGTGAATACGTCCCACATGTTTCCAGAGTGAAATCTACGATGTCTGCCATCTTTAATCAGGTGTCTGAGTGATGTGATGTGCGGTGTTCTGCCTCTGATTGGTGGGTTTGCTTTTGCAGAGACAGAGCCAGCGAGGAACAAAAGGACGAGGAGGCGGCTGCACAGACAGACGAGCAGAGTGTCCTCTCACTACCCTGAGACACACACACACACACACACACACACACACACACACACACACACACACACACACACACACACACACACACACACACACACACACACACACACACACACACACACACACACACACAAACACTTGCTAGTTAAATAAGGACACAGATATAGCAATAACACACAAGATGTAACTTTAATTGTGTTCATGTGGGTAAAAGCTAGTGTCTATAATACTATATATGTGGGGAACACTTGTGCAA